TAGTCTCTCAGTTTTAAAGCTATCGAACTGAAACTTTGCACACACCCTTCTTTTCTTTGCACGCAGTATATAAGTCGGAACGGCCGGGATCGGCTGACTATATCCTATAGCTGCCATATAACTGATTGATCGGAAATGCCATCATTTTGGTGTTTGTAAAGTTAGCAAGTTGGGATTTTCTATGGGTTATGTATTTAGCCAATCAATCCGACCTACCAAATTTCATAAGGATCGGCCGACTATATCCTATAGCTGCCATATAACTGATTGATCGGAAATGCCATAACTTTGGTGTTTGTTAAATTAGGATTTTGGGATTTCCTATGGGTTTTATATTTGGCCAATCAATCCGACCTACCAAATTTCATAAGGATCGGCCGACTATATCCTATAGCTGCCATATAACTGATTGATCGGAAATGCCATAACTTTGGTGTTTGTTAAGTTAGGAAGTTGGGATTTTTTATGAGTGTTAATAATGCATCATATGAATAATTTTGGAGAAAAGAATTTACAGAATATTCTGCAAGGGTATTTCAACTTCGGCTCCGCCCGAAGTTAGCATTCCTTCTTGTTTGTTTTCATTTAAAGATAAGTACTGCATGGATCCGTGTGTTGGATCCGTGATTAATTCCCGATACGTTTTAACAGGTATACCGGTATGAAGTGAGCGTCAAGATACAAATGTCTCAATAGGGAACATTTGTTGTGAACGAGCCTTTATTTATTATACCCGTTACTCGTAGAGTAAAAGGGTATATTGTATTCGTGCAAAAGTATGTAACAGCTAGAAGGAAGCGTTTCCGACCCTATAAAGTATATATATTCTTGATCAGGGTCACTAGCCGAGTCGATATAGCCATGTCCGTCTGTCCGTCTGTCCGTCTGTCTGTCCGTCTGTCTGTCCGTCTGTCTGTCCGTCTGTCTGTCTGTCCGTCTGTCTGTCTGTCCGTATGAACGCTGAGATCTCGGAAACTATAAAAGCTAGAAGATTGGCATTTTGCATGCAGATTCTAGGAGTTCCTACGCAGCGCAAGTTTGTTTCAAAATGGTGCTACGCCCCCTCTGACGCCCACAATCGCTTATATTTTAAAAATTTAAATATTTCGGAAAAGTAAAAATGCAGTTTTATTGTGTTTATCAATACCTATCGAATTGTAGAAGAAATTTTTCAAATCGGACCATTCGTTAAAAAGTTATGCGTGATCAAAGTTTCTATCTCCATCTCCCTTGCACTCCCTTTACCTGAGTAACGGGTATCTGATAGTCGGGGCACCCGACTATAGCGTTCTCTCTTGTTTTTTTTTGTTTTGTTTCAAGTCATGGAACAGACAACATTATATTTATTCATCGTGTTAAAAATGTGGAATTTTGTACCAGAAAGTTATGATTTGCGGAAAGCATTAATTTTTAGTTTTCATTTAAAGATAAGATAATGCTTGCCGAGGCATATGGTGATTATGCTCTATCAGTAGCAACATGCAAAAGATGGTTTCAACGGTTCAGAAATAATAATTTTGTTGTGAGTTTGGGTGACGCCGAATTGCAAACGATATTGGATGGAGTCAAAAGCAAATGGCAGAAATCTTAAATGTTGCACAACAAAAAATTTCTGATCGTTTAAAAGCAATGGGAAAGATCCAAAAGTCTGGAAAATGGGTGGTTCATGAATTGAATGAAAGACCCAGAAGAAAATCGGTTTTGCATTGGATTGTTACTGGCGATGAAAAATGGATTTATTTTATTTTTTAATCCTAAACGGAAAAAATCATGGCTTAATCCGGGACAACCATCAATATCGACTGAAAAACCAGATCGATTCGGCACGAATACAATGCTGTGTGTTTGATGGGACTAGAAAGGTGTGGTGTACTTCGAGCTCCTAAAACCTGGTGAAGCCGTTAATACTGATCGATACCGACAACAAATGATCAATTTGAATTATGCATTGATTAAGAAACGACCAGCAAAGGTAATTTTGCTCCATGACAATGCACCTGCACACAAAGCAGAACTGGTTCAGGATACAATCAAAACACTTGGCTGGGAGCTGCTACCTTACCCGCCGTATTCACCAGACTTGGCTCCTTTCGACAAATTCCCAGAAAGGTGGTCAAAATGTGTAGAAAACAATGGCCAATACTTTGAATAAAATGTCTATTTTTCCCATTAATAATTAGTGTTTTATGTTCACAAAAAAACGCTCAATTCATACCGGTATACAGACAGCGTCTGATATCGGAACACCGTAAGAAATCTTTCTTAAAAATAGGTTAACTAATAAAAATTTAATTTGAAGCTAAATTAATGTTGGTCTAATCCTTAAAAAACATTTATCTCATTGACCTTTAAATAAATCTTTGGTAATTAAGTTACTGTGAGTCAAATTTATAATTTATATTTGTCTTTTTAATGAAATCTTTTTATACCGGTTTAATATGTATGATTTATTGGAAGAACTTCCCACACAACGCAAACAAAGGAAAGTCCATATCATGATGCATCTTCGTTTTGATTATACAGTCTTTACAGAACCTTGCTGAAATTGGATTATGAATTGTTTTTTTTTTTGTCAAAGTGTATATATCTATTGCAAAACTTAACAGGTATACTGCAGGTTGTAAAAGATTGAGAATTGATATTGAGGATTAAATTAAGAAATGAGAATATGCCGTTTTGAAGAGTTCTTGGAACCCCAATTTTTGAAATTAGAAAAACCAATTTGAAACGTTATATTTCTTTATATTGCTTTTTGGGACGATATCATAAAGACGTCCCAAAAAGCAATATATTTGTCTGCATTCAGCTGTAAGAGCTTTTAGAAATCCTCATTTGGAGTTTTTAAGGAGTTCAGTTTCTAATAAATGCGAACTTCCCTTTACTATCACCAGTTGTACACTCATTTAGGGTTGGAAGTCATAATAATCACTCATTCCCAAAAGACTTTTTTTCGCCATTCATCTTTTTGAAACATTATCTGCATTATCTGCTGTATGGAGCAATCACCCTTATCACCAACGATGAGATTTTCCAGAAACATCATTTTCTATAATTACATCTTGAAGGCTCTCGTCGAATTGTCTAAATTCTGTGGCAGGATAACTAGTTCCTTTCCAAGAGCCTGAAGTTCTATCGCAATTAGGTCGCCGATCTTTCGGCACTGATGTTAGTTATGTTTAATGTTTAATAGGTAGCTCAATATTTACTTTGTGAAGAAGGCTATTTGAAATAAGTTTTCTGGGAATATTTTTTTTGTACATTTTATTTGGATTTTTTAAACTGTTTTTGCGATATTATTTATGACTTACCCGATACATATTAAAAGCGTAATTTCATTTGAAATTCCTCTTTAAACATCTTCTTTGTTGGCCTTTTCTTGTTGAAGTTTTGAAACCACTATATATTTTTCACGGCAATTTTGGTGGAAACTCATCTCGTTAAGAACTTTTCTTTCCTGTTTTTTTAATCTGTTCAGGAAGATAAAGCCCTTGTTTTCCTTCATCTCTCTTCATCATGCCATTATAATTTATTTGGCAAATTCCTCCGATTTATCCATAGTTCTAAATTACGGCCACGATTCGGCCAAAATAATCTGTTCTGAAAAAATGTGTGACAATGATAACAATTTTGAGCCACTGTCTAACGAACTTATTCAAAAAAACTTGCATCTTTTAGGCGTAAGATAAGGCAAGTTCTTGAGAAGAACAAGTATCTAGAGCCGACTTTTTGCTTTTAAAAACAATGATTCATTTTATGACTTATGAACGTGGAGGCACTGGTTTTTTCAGTGGCTCAAGGTCTCAAATTGAAATTATTAACAAGTTCGTGGAGATCTTCTCTTTATTGGCATTACTTACCACCAATGTGCTTGGGGATCTTGTTTTCATTTGCCTTACTTACCTCGAATATATACATACGTGCATGGCGGGGTTTTCCCGGGGTTATCTGCGATCCAACGCCCAATCGTAATCTCTGACGTACTCTGCGTGTCTGCTGGCTTACCCCAGCGGTTAAAGCTGTTTATGTGGGATCTGCCGAATCTGTCTTACTGAACTAGTAAGCGAAACAAGCTCCGGCATTAATCATTCTTTATTAATTATTCTTAACACGTTTAAGCTTAAGAACCAGCTGTAACGGATTTTTGAGTTAAAAAAATCTAACGAAAGAATAAAAAACACTCGCATCTTTTAGGCGTAAGATAAGGCAAGTAATTGTATAAAACAAGCTCTTGGAGCCGACTTTCAGCTTTTAAAAAGAATGATTCATTTTATAACTTGCGAACGTGGAGGTAGTCATTTTTTCAGTGGCGCAAGGCTTCAAATTGAAATTATTAACAAGTTCTTGGAAATCTTCTTTTCATTTGTTTTACTCACAACGTCCTTTCATTTGATTGACTTACTTCCAATATATATGTACAGGTCGGGGATTCCCAGGGGTTATCTGCATTCCAACGGCCCGAAATTGGAATCTCTTACGTACTCATGGCTTAATCCAGTGGTTTAAGCTCTGTATGTGGAATCTGCCGGTGCGCTGTCTTTGGAACTAGTCGGCGAAACATGCTTCTGCTTTACGTATTTTTTATTACTCATTCTTAATACGTTTAAGCTTAGGAACCAGCTGTTTTAGAATTTCTGGGAACGCTGTCCGGTGATGCCAGACTGAAAGCGTAACGGATTTTTGAGTTACAAAATTTGTAGTGGATTTTTTGAATTATTATACATATTAAGTGGGGGATCCGGAATAAAATTTGGGTTAAAATACTAAAATGTAAATATAATTATGTTAAAAATCAAACTGTAAGTAATGATAATATTTAATGATTTTGTGTTGTGTAACACTTTTTTTTAGTCATCTAAAATATTTTTAAAAGCTAATTATTCTGTTAAATGTTATTAATAGCAGCAGTGTCGTTAGCTCAGAGAAAACATCTGGCGATCTAGTTCTTTATTATTCTCATTACAGGGTGTTTTTAGACTGTATAGTCTAGAAAAATGCACCAATTAAGGAACGTGCAAAAGCTTTTGCATGCTTGTTTATTTGTTGTTCAAAACGCTACAATTATAAATGACTAGCTAGTAATGTGACATTGAATTTGCATTTTGTATAACTTTAGTACATTGCTTGTACGTCAATGGTAGAACTAACTAAAGGCTTAACCTATTCCTTGGAGACGGGCTTGCAGGCGATCATGTAAACCGGAAAGAGTCCTTTGGGGAAGTTTTGTTGCTTGACCTTGCGCACGATGCGGAATCCGGCTTCCTTCAGGAAGCGCTCGTAGCTGTCTAGTGGCCGGGTGACCGAGGAGTCCTCCTTGTCCTCTACCGTCTTCCTGGAGCTGCTCACGTTCTCCTTTAGGCAGAAGAAGGCGCCGGGCGCCAGTCCCAGCTTGATGCGCCGGAAAAAGGCGACCAGGTCACGGTCCGTGAGGTGGCCCAGCACCCACTGGCTCCAGATAAGGTCGTACTGCTGTGAGGGCGCGAACTTTTGCAGTCCTACGTTGTAGATCTGCCCCACCTTTCCGGGAGCTACGTCCTCCGAGGTGCAGTACTCCCGTGCCTTCTCCGCAAACGCAGGATCCTGCTCCACGAGGTCCACGCAGCTGAAGCGCGGGATAAGAAGATTCCTGGTCACACGCCCGATTCCCGCGCCGCAGTCCAAGGCCAACCTGTTGCCGGGAACGCGGATCTCGCGCAGAAACACACTGGAGCCCTGTATATCGATGGCGCTGATGTAGCCGAGACCACCGAGCATCCCGTTTACGGTGGCCGGAACCTCGGACCAGTACTTCTGCGCCTTATCGTAAAACTCGGGCTCCGGAACGATTTTGGTGGCACTGCCACTTGGGGACGGGAACTCCGCCCTTTCATCGGTTCTACCGTGTGCGCTGCTGGATTCCTCCTGGTCTGCCGGCTTTGGGCCAATGTCCTTGATCTCGTCCATCACTTTCAACTTGTCTGAAAGCTGTGCTTCCAATGTGGTTGTCATTTTTGTCAGGATTCCAAATTCCGCATGCTTTGTTTTGTTTTTACCAGGGATGCTCAACACTGCATGTCCGAGAGGGTGGCAACGCCGCCGCGAACATCTGTTCGAGGAGAGAAAACTTTATCGTTTTGTTTATTTTACGAGTTTTGTGTTTAATTTTTTATTGCTGTTTCAAAATGACGCTCGATTTGGATGCAAATAAGAAGGATGACAAGTTGCTGATCACCACCATCCAGCAGGAGTACAAAATCCTGGCTGAATAGTGAGATTTCGCCGTAGTTCGTCAAAGAGTGCAAAACTAACTAACAAATTACTCCTTTTTTCTTTTTAGCAAAATGATTGAGTCGGAGAAGATAAGTGGCATATATGTTATCCCCAGCTATTCAAATTCCTTGCGTGAGTATACCAACATATATGTTTTATGAATGTGATAGCTAATTTCACTGTTTTTTTAGAATGGTTCGGGGTCTTCTTTGGACGCCAGGGGTTATATGCGGACAGTGTCTTTCGCTTCTCGATTTTACTGCCTGATCGATTTCCTGACGACAAAGGTCTTCCGGTAAGAAGGATAGTGGAAAAACCAAGTGAATAGTACTTAACATACCCCACCTAGACTGTTATATTCCAGCAGGGCGTACTGCATCCTCATGTGTGTCCGTACACCCACAGCTTGGACGTGAGTCACGCTTTTCCCGAGTGGCGATGTGGAGAGGATCACCTCTGGCAGCTGCTTAAGTACATGCAGGCCATATTTTCCGATCCCGTGGACAGTACTCGTGGCATTGAAATGGATAAACTTAAGAACAGTGAGGCTGCAGAGTTGCTGATGACCAACAAAGAGGAGTTTGCAGCCCGAGTGCAGGAAAACATAAAGGAGAGCAAGGAGCATATCTACGACACCCCACCCACTGAGGATCCGCACTACATAGTATTCGAAAAGTTTCAGCCGGACTTACACGGGCCAGTTTTGGAGCGCATTAAGGCTGGAAGAAGCAAGCAGATGGACACCTCCTCGCAGCAGGCAAACGGAGGCCATGCCACTGGTCTCTCCTGGGTGAAGGAGGGTGAGTTCAAGCCCCTCAGCGTCGAGTAAAAGCATTATACTGGTTCTGTAAGTTATAAAAGTAGTACTAACGTTGTCTCAATTTTAATCCATTAAAGTTATTCGATTATATACACTCCTCATTCATGGGGAATCGCTGGGTATTGTTAACCCAATCGTTCTCCAGCTTCAATCGCACTCCGTTCCATCGAAAATGTGTGGGGGAAGCCTCGCCGGTCGGAAACTCAAAGTGCTGGCTCAGTTCTATGGCCAGTTTGGAGCGGACCAGGCCAATGCCGCCCACCTGTAGCGTTGCTGGATGATAGACTCTTCCATTTCGCGGATCCATGTACAGTTTGTGGGGTTCGTAGGGCAGAGTTAGGACCTGTCCCGAATGCGCATAGCTAAGCACGTCTTTATCATCCTTTTTGAGTTGTTCTGTAAACACAAGGGGCGTGTCATCACATCTTATGAAATTCCTTTCCCTTCCACAAAGGGAAATGTAAGGAAAATCGCTTTCATATCTATTGGTTTTGTTCAGTCGCAGGCGGTTGAAAAAGAACTTTAGGAAGTCCTTTTCCTTAAAACAACTGGTAAAGTTTTTCATTTTGGCATCATCCAAAAATAGCTTCAAACAATTTTCTATTACTTTACAAATATTTTCATTGTTTTAGTACTTACCATTCCCTCATGATCAATATAGTAAAAGTACTCGCGAATTTTTGGCTCTGGTGACTGTCCTTGATTGTATTGCAAATAACGACAAAATGGTCTTGGAAATCCAACTAATTTCGGCTTTATTATAAATCTAGAACCTTGTATAAACATTGTTATTATGTCTGAGGTCTGTGTTTGCGAAAATACAGCAAAAACAGCTGACTTTTGTTTACTATGTGAGGTTGTTCCACAGACAATTTCATTAAATTTTGGCTGATGTTCTTCTGAAAACCCTGTTTACAAGGTCAAACCTTTGTGACGAGTTGTTTTTGTACATGGGCATAAATGTAAATCGCATTAAAGTTACAAAATGAGTTTATAATTTTTTCTTTAAATTGTGTGGCTTCTGCTTGAAAACGCAATTTGCCACAAAAGCTCTATTACTTTATTTATATGTATAACTTCTCGATAGGTTTTTTGAAAAACCGTTGGCCGAAAAGTATGCAAAGCTTTTTTTAGAAGCCTTTCTGTGAAATGTGAAAAACAACGATTTTATAAAACACAACTATTGTTTTATCATTATTTTTACGATTTTAAGTTTGTTGCTATGTTGGCAAATTGTAGATGCTCTAAAAAAAATCTCAATCAATAGTTTTTAAAAAAGGAAAATATTTACATATTTGCATCGTGTAAAAGTTTGATAGCCTGAAAGTCGTTGAAAAGGAATCTTCACTTCCCATATATGTTATCATAAAGAAAGATATAACTAAGTATAAAAACATACTTTGAACTTTGATAAATTGATTCCTTGAAATTTAATTAAATTAGTTTGTTTATATGTTTTTAGATTTTTATGGTGTTGCAATTCTGATATCTTTAGATTTGCAACCTTGGTCAACTGATACGTGGCCTGTTAAGACCATAAATCGGAAAGACCTAAATTAAACTTAAACGTTATCTTGCTAAATAAGCGGCACGTGTATTAAACTGCCAATGTTTTAGATGTTGATACTCCAATAAATTCCAATAAATCGACTATGGGATACTCTTTAGTAAATATAAAACTGGAACGTTTTCTACCCATAATGGTGCGTCGAGAAATATAACAATGCCCATTGAAGCAGGGTATTAAGGTTTAATTCCCCGTATTTGGAGCTGATAAGATATGGTCTGTCCAGTAATTTGCTATGACTGGCTATTTTTGCACAATCGGCTTGATAGCTTATGAAAGATTTCCATTCAGACGGAGGCGTGGCCCGTATTATCTGTACGTCAATACGTAATAATCGCGCAGAAGTGTGTGGAATCTTTTTTGTATGAATAGTAGAAAACCGAATTATATTCTATATTTTTTAATCTAATCTTTAAGCTGCAGGTTTAATGATTTTTATACCCTTGCAGAGGGTATTATAATTTTGGTCAAAAGTGTGCAACGCAGTGAAGGAGACATCTCCGACCCTATAAAGTATATATATTCTTGATCAGGATCACCTCCTGAGTTGATATAGCCATGTCCGTCTGTCCGTCTGTCCGTCTGTCCGTCTGTCCGTCTGTCTGTCCGTCTGTCTGTCCGTCTGTCTGTCCGTCTGTCTGTTTCTACGCGAACTAGTCTCTCAGTTTTAAAGATATCGAATTGAAACTTTGCACACACCCTTCTTTCCTTTGCACGCAGTATATAAGTCGGAACGGCTGGGATCGGCCGACTATATCCTATAGCTGCCATATAACTGAACGATCGGAAATGCCATAACTTTGGTGTTTGTAAAGTTAGGAAGTTGGGATTTTCTATGGGTTTTGTATTTGGCTAATCAATCCGACATGCCGAATTTCATAAGGATCGGCCGACTATATCCTATAGCTTCCATATAACTGATTGATCGGAAATGCCATAACCTTGGTGTTTGTAAAGTTAGAATGTTGGGATTTTCTATGGGTTTTATATTTGGCTAATCAATCCGACATGCCGAATTTCATAGGGATCGGCCGACTATATCCTATAGCTGCCATATAACTGATTGATCGGAAATGCCATAACTTTGGTGTTTGTTAAGTTAGGAAGTTGGGATTTTCTATGGGTTTTATTTTTGGCCAATCAATCCGACCCACTAAACTTCATAAGGATCGGCCGACTATATCCTATAGCTGCCATATAACTGAACGATTGGAAATGCCATAACTTTGGTGTTTTTAAAGTTAGGAAGTTGGGATTTTTTATGAGTATTAAGAATGCATCATATGAATAATTTTGGAGAATATAATTTACAGAGTATTCTGCAAGGGTATATCAACTTCGGCTCCGCCCGAAGTTAGATTTCCTTTCTTGTTTTTTATAATACTGACTGTTGCTTCAGAGTTCAATGTTTCTAAAAATGAGGAGACTTTTACTAACCAGCCAAATATTTGTTTTTTTTAATGTGTGTCAATAAAATATAATTATTTATTTTTATACCCTTGCAGAGGGTATTATAATTTTGGTCAAAAGTGTGCAACGCAGTGAAGGAGACATCTCCGACCCTATAAAGTATATATATTCTTGATCAGGATCACCTCCTGAGTTGATATAGCCATGTCCGTCTGTCCGTCTGTCCGTCTGTCCGTCTGTCCGTCTGTCCGTCTGTCTGTTTCTACGCAAACTAGTCTCTCAGTTTTAAAGCTATCGGATTGAAACTTTGCACACACCCTTCTTTCCTTTGCACGCAGTATATAAGTCGGAACGGCCGGGATCGGCCGACTATATCCTATAGCTGCCATATAACTGATTGATCGGAAATGCCATAACTTTCGTGTTTGTAAAGTTAGGAAGTTGGGATTTTCTATGGGTTTTATATTTGGCCAATCAATCCAACCTACCAAATTTCATAAGGATCGGCCGACTATATCCTATAGCTGCCATATAACTGATTGATCGGAAATGCCATAACTTTGGTGTTTGTAAAGTTAGAAAGTTGGGATTTTCTATGGGTTTTATATTTGGCCAATCAATCCGACCCACCAAATTTCATAAGGATCGGAAGACTATATCCTATAGCTGCCATATAACTGAATGATCGGAAATGCCATAACTTTGGTGTTTGTTAAGTTAGGAAGTTGGGATTTTCTATGGATTTTATTTTTGGCCAATCAATCCGACCTACCAAATTTCATAAGGATCGGCCGACTATATCCTATAGCTGCCATATAACTGATTGATCGGAAATGCCATAACTTTGGTGTTTGTAAAGTTAGGAAGTTGGGATTTTCTATGGATTTTATTTTTGGCCAATCAATCCGACCTACCAAATTTCATAAGGATCGGCCGACTATATCCTATAGCTGCCATATAACTGATTGATCGGAAATGCCATAACTTTGGTGTTTGTAAAGTTAGGAAGTTGGGATTTTCTATGGATTTTATTTTTGGCCAATCAATCCGACCTATCAAATTTCATAAGGATCGGCCGACTATATCCTATAGCTGCCATATAACTGAACGATTGGAAATGCCATAACTTTGTTGTTGTTAAAGTTAGGAAGTTCGGATTTTTTATGAGTATTAAGAATGCATCATATGAATAATTTTGGAGAATATAATTTACAGAGTATTCTGCAAGGGTATATCAACTTCGGCTCCGCCCGAAGTTAGCTTTCCTTTCTTGTTCATGGATACATTTGTCTTACTAGCACAGTTTCCTGTTGGCAGACGAAGACTGCCTGAGTGGGACATTATCTGGCCTTTATATCTGACATCGTTCATACGCAACATCATTCTTGTTGGGTTCTCCGTCGGTTTGGCGATAAGACTCCCCCAACTTTGTTATTGCCCCAATCGCGCGTGCCGCAATATAAAAATAAAAATCTCAAAACCCCCTATATACACGTGTCTGCCTACCTATATTTATATATAACGCCAAGATGTATATATATTTTAGAGGCAGGGCTCCCAATAAATCCAGCTGATACCGGCGACAACAGAAACAGAGAGCATTGGCGAGGAGTCCTCTCTATTTTGATTTCACTCGCTCAAATCAGCCCCGAATCTTGGCCATCATTTCGAGTCATACGATTCTTCCTACTCTGCCGGCGAGTGCCAAATTATATAGGGGCACACACCGCCGTAAATATAATAAGATCCACGCGTCCGATCCAAATGGCCAGAGTATTCGAATTCCCTCCACAACATACCATAAAAGCTAATCATTTTCTGAAAGTTTCCATGAGCATAATAGATCTAATTCAGGGGTTGTGATGTGATTGCCTTTTTTACCTGGCAGTCGTGGGAAAGAGGGTATAAAATAAGGGACAGGATGCAATGATAAACTCTAAGGACGAAGGACTCTCAAGTCCTAACAGTTTTGAATGTAAATTATTCTTATCGAAGACTTATTTGTATTACATGCATTTAGTTTTACTGGACCTTATCCTTATTGTTTCTAGCTGCACTGAATTCACTTGTTTACTAATCAAAACTTACAACTTGGTAGAGAATTTTGATATTTCTTTTCTTTATTTGTAGCCAGTAGGCTACTTCAAATACATATTTGGTCACAGTTTTTAAATTTTTGGACTAAATTAAATGCCAGTTTTTGCCAGAACGCAGAAGCGTTTTTACATATATTTTTTGATGGTTCAAAATTTGCCGTAAGCCTGGATGAAGTGGTAAAGTTCACGAAATCTGGTTTTTTGGGACCTATCCAATTTTGGGGCCGCTGAACAGCTGTTGCTCTCTCGCTCGCGCTGTGGCTCTCCCTCTCTGTCTCCCGGCTGGCGGCCAATGTCAATAGAAAGTTCTCTTGCGCGACTGGCATACGGCGACTAAAACAGCTTTGCCGCTAGGACAAAGTTCGATGTTGTTTCAGACTCTTTACCAGGTACCTTCGGAGTTTGTTGGACTCGTGAGAAACATGTTACACCTAAACAAAAAGCCCTAGTGATCCTTTAATTTTTTATTTTTGGTCATACAAATTTAGATTTTACAAATTTAATTTAAGGAATTTTAAGGTATAATATAACTGGTTTCAGGATTCATCTGTAGGAAGCCCTGAATCTCGGGATGTAGACTCTTCTGGTCTGTATGCTCACTATCATAAAATTCGCCTGTATTTGGCAAACAATATACTTTAATTTAGAAAAGTTCTAGGTAGTTTGTTAAGAATATATATGAATCTCAGAATCTATTACAACTAGATCCTTAAAAACTCTACCTACCCGTTTAACACTTTTCATAAACCCAGTTTCCTAAGGGGTTGAGTGAGTAAGGGGTAACTTCTAGTCGAAGTCTCCGATCCAAATTGTGTGAGAACAAATCATTGCCGGCACGGAGCTTAAGCACGCGCAGGCCTCGAAAGTGCGAGAGGAGCCGCAGAGATTGGGAGAGGGAGCAACAGCAGCAACACCGGCGAGAATGTTCGCAGCCCCGCTAAAAACCTCCACTCTCCGCGGAA